AGGGGAGGAGCTTATACGCGATGTCATTCAGGGAAAACTTACGTCGAAAAAAGAAAAGCGTTAGTAGGGAGGTGATTAAGAGACAAAAGAACCTTTTCCGGTTTTTAGGTATTAGATCATTTTTATTTATTATTCGTTACTAGATTTAAAAAGGGAAAAGGAAAATAGAGAATATTAGGTTTAAATTTTATTTAATATTTAAATATATTTTACTTAGACTTATAATCTTAATTATAAAGTACACAAACACAATATGTACATTTTATATTAATCCACTTATTAATAAAGTTAATAAAAAAAAGGTTTTACAAAAAATATTGTCATTTTATCTTACATAGCTGACATTAATATTTTTACATTCTTCTTATATATACCGTACTTAAACTATAACAAGCGTTTAAGGTCGGAAAACTCGTTAATGTTCCAAACTTAAAAATAAGAGAGAGAACCGATTCGAATAAGAAGAAGAAGAAGAAGATGGAAACGTTATTCGCTCGCGAAACCGTAGGGGAGAGAATAACGATTATTGATAAATCTTCGTTTTACCGGTGCGCACGTTTTTGTTTCATTTCGCGTTACGATCTCGTGAAACGCTGTGCGTCGGTAAATTTACCATAAGCGAGTTCCTATAATTAAGCGTTATTCCTTTTACTTTACAAATTTCATGCAGACGATCTTCCGGTGTACGAACAACGTACGCATAGAATTTCGGGCCAGCCGACACGAACGACTCGATATAACTACCGCGGCCGTAGCTCTCGAGTTCGTCGGTCATATCCCCCAAAAAATTTCCCGTACGTGGCTCGTACTCGTTCGGATCGCCTGTACTTATATATATGCAGGAATCTGTATCATAATACAATACTCGCCTATTCAATAATTCTAAATGTTCGTATAATTTCAGTCGCGCCAGCGCCGTCGTGAATGCCGCGATCACGTTTGTCTGCGGAGAAGTTACGACCGCTTCTCCTCGCAATCTCCACGAGACATATATTACCTCGTCGTTGACGGGTAATATATCGATTATTTCGTGTTCTGGACTCGTGAGCAAAGCTGCCAATCGCTGGTAATTTTTCACGATCTCAGTGTTAGGCAAATTGGATCGTTGACCGAATTTTTCCCAAAAGGAATTTAAGCAGAGCTTTGCAACCGAACGTAGACCTGGATTTCGAGCGATGTTATTTTTATCGAGAACGATACCCTCGGTTTCCTCGTATTCCCGAAGATATCGCTCCTTAGTTTCGTCATCCACGCATTCGTTCGGCCATCCGCTAGCTTCCTGCTTCAATTGCAAAAAACTATTGATATATCCGGTAAGCAATCCACCCTGCTACGTATCGGGATCATATCGCGTGACCTTGTATTGCCAAAATTTCTCTCACTTCC